AGTTCTGCATATTGTCAAAGCAAGAATATACAGTATTTGCAGCGTTGACATCCTGCTTTCTCTATGCACTATCATTTTTTTTCTTTCCCGATGCATTAACAATTGAAACTTTTTATTATTATTTCTTGAAATTTTGGATCAACAGATGGCCTATTCAACTTACGGATCCTTAGGTGGCAGCAAAAAGTTGGGCACATACATTATTTTGTATTTTTTGGCTGCCATCCAATGCTAGCCTGGATTTCTGCCACTGAGATGCAGCCATGGAATAAGTCCTACTGAAGAACCAGAGTTTGAAAAAGGCTTAGCTATGGGAAATCCGTGTGGGATCTGTAAACTGTAAATTTCTAAATTTCAGGGTAGAGAATATGAAGAGAAGAAGGAAGTAGCCAGAACTTCCCTGGAAGCAGCAGCATGGGAAAGTCATTCCCTGCAAAGAGGCTACAAGCCCTTTCAATTACACTTCCAATTATAGGCACAGGCTGGTCAATTTCAGGGCTTTACACTGAATGATCAACCAACTAATTTAAAAAAAGAAAAGTAGCTGCAGAAGACAGAGTTCTGATCTTGCAAACACAAGAGGACTAAAAGGCAAGTGAGTAAGTCAGGTCCAGACTGAAGAGATGGTCCCAAAGGAAACCAGCAGAATCCACTGGAACCACAAGATTGTTGGCAAAAGTGTGTCAACATGGGCTGCCTCCCCAATAAACGTCACCACTTCCTACTTTGTCTGGACATAGCTTTTTGGGATGGGACCTTAGGAAAACACTTCCAGAATGTAGCATCCTAGGCCAGTCTCAGGTGATTCAGCTTAAGGAGATACTGAGATACAGGTGAGAGATATGTAGACAGGTACTTGGGGAAACAATAGTGAGCTATCCTTATTTATGGCCACTTACATAGCACAAAAAAGTTTGTGAGGCAGGTTGGGCACAAAAAAAAATAACAGATCCAGTTATTCAGTGTGATTCTTTAGCTGAAAGTAGATCTTGAATTTGGGTCTCCCTTGATGGAACCCTTAACCACCAAAGTTATTTTAAATTCCACATTAGTTTCCATTATACACATTTGATTACTATCCTGAGAACCTTTATGTTGAAAAAAGCCCTGGAAATCTTAAATAAAAGTCACCAAGTGGAAGCTTACCTCTGATCAGGATTAGGCTTCCCCTTCTTCCTCATGTTATTGGCCGTGGTCTCACTGAAATGCAGCCGGCCCACTGTGACCTTCGTGACTTGCTCTGGAGGCAAATTGACCCTGAAAAGGAGAGAACATTAGAATAACGGAGGATTGTCACCTGTCAATTAATCAGTTGGAGCAGGACAAGGACATTTTATAAAAGTCACCGATCAAGAGGTAGAGGGAACCAGCATTTAAAAAGACAGTAGAAGAAAGAGTAGAGGACTAAACATAGAAATAAATACACAGCCTGACCCCAGTGCCTGGCTTCTCCCTGAAGCCCTGAGTAGTACTCACATGACAGGATTAAAAGGTCTTTTGCTGCGGTCCGACTGAGACTGTTCTATATTGATTGACTGGTTCAATGCTTCCAACTGAAGAAAAACAAAAAAGAAAGACTCAGATCTATTTTAAAGACAATTAGGAGAACCATGTTTTGCTTTATGCTCTATTCTTAAGTATATTCATTGTTAAAGAGGCACTTTCATTTTAAAGCACTGGAGTAAAATAATTCTATGTACTTGAGACTGGCAATTATCCTTCTTATAGGAGAGGAAGGCAATATGAACAGATAAATTCACACACACACACACACATATGTATCTCCTAGATGTAAGTTATGGGTCTTTTGATGTGTACAGCTGCCCAGAGTTACCCTGCGGTAAGATGGGCAGCCAATAAATTTAATAAATAAAATAAAATAAATAATAAAATAAAATAAAATAAAATAAAATAAAATAAAATAAAATAATAAAATAAAATAAAATAAAATAAAATAAAAATGCAGTTTAGATCATAACTCCTTCAACAAATATAATCACAGGGAAATTACTAAAGAATGTGTTGTCTAAGTCGGACCATCTGTCACTATTTATAACACAAGCATATAGTTAACAAACTACAACTGAAAAATAATTCAGTAAGGACCGCACAAATGTTAATACTCTCAATTCTAATAACTAACCTCACAGAAGTGAGAGCAAAATATAATACAAAACTTTAATGTAATTCTTTATTGTACATTAGAAACAGGGTTTGATAAGGGGCATCCCTACAAAAGATCTGGACACAAAAACTTATTCCATACTCCCCTTTGAATGTCTATAAATTGATATATAGATGGTGTCTAATACTACACAGAATGAATTTTATACCATAAGTACAACAAAAATGCTAGAGCTGTAATTCTTATGTGCCTTCTATTTGATTTTTAAAGTTGTATTCTAAATTCATAAAGACTATGTCTGTACACATTATGCTGTTTGCTAAATATTGAAAATGTTATTTGGAAAAACCCCAACCCTAATCCTAACTCTAACCCAAATCCCAAACCTAATTCCGACCCCACCCTATCCCTAACCCTATAAAAACTAATAAAATCTATACAAAAAAAAGAGACTATGTCTGTATAGTAATGGAAATTTTTAAAAAGGTAACAGTTGTTAATTAAGAAAATCTATTTTATCTGGATTTTTAAAAGTTGCAAAGATTCAGCTAATGTGATTACCTGTTTATTAGATTCACATACCGCTTGGTTTTGTAAAGGCTACGCAAGACAGAGAGGTGGTTGGGTCCATGTTTGTTTTCATTCATTCATTCATTCATTCATTCATTTATTCAATTTGTATAATCACCCGTCTCATATTTGTGACTATGGACAACCAAGCAAAACTATTAATAAAGAACACGAAGGTCAATAAAAAACAATAACCTCTTTAAAACCAAATTAAAACCCAATTAAAACAAAAATTTAAAACCAGAAAATGTAAGAAGCAGGTAAGGCAATATGCAAGCAAGCATATAAGCTTAATAAATAAATAAAGTGCAAAGTCATGTGTCAATCAAAACAGTCATCCAGCAGGCTCCAAAACCATATTAATATTGCCACATATAAATATCTAGCTTTGTATCATTTTCCTCAGTAAATACATTAGTTTAATTGGGTTGTCCTTATTAGTTTTTAGGATTTAAAGAGAGTTCACAATCTTTTAAGCACCAATTTATACACTGGGTATCTTTTCTCTTTTAATAGTTGTAAATTTAATGATAATCTATTTTATGAATATGTATTAAATTTAATTAAGAGCAATTTTTTTAAATATCACCCACTCTGATTTAGAACTTAGCTAGTCAAACATGCCACCACACAAGCACATACGCATTTGCAATTCTATATATTGGATTGTTCTACCCATTTTTACTTAAAATTCCATGTAACTGTAAACAAGCTCCTTAAAAAATCTTATTTTTAATAGATTTTTTTTTAATAGAGAGACACATCTACACCTTTCCTAAAGTTTTCCCATCAGGCCGTCTCCTATTCTTTTAAATGATGCAGTCAGCTATTCTTAGACTTGCCTTCACCCCGTGCAGTTTCAGATAGAAGCATTCAAGTGGCTTCAGACCCTCAGGAGTCTTGACATATTTTGGGTCTCCAATCATACCAATGTACACGGTGACTTGGAAGTGGTTCTTTTTCTGGCATACGAAAGCATCGTCTCCCACAGAGAAATTGAAGCCTTTATCTGCATCTACTCGATATGTGGGCATAGGTCTGTAAGCAAGGGAAAAGTAGACAAGAGATCACAGGTTGGACAAAAGAACAAATGGGAGCACTGATGAGACAAGGATATATCCAAAATTTGTTTCTGGGCAGTCTTGTTTCCATAATCACATATGGTTGAAACCAAACCTTTTCAAGGAGCAGAATGTGTTACTTAAAAAAACAACCCACATCCCCCAAACTCCTGATCAAAAGTCAAAGCTGTAGTGAAAGAAAATTGGCTGCACTCAAGTCAAACAACTTCTTCATACCTTAGTCTCTTGCAGAATCCCATCATGTTGTTGTAGAAACCTAAGATACTACAGAACATAATTTGAAAAATCCTGGCTTAAACTAAGTCTCCTAATTCATTTGTGAAAACTAAAATGTCACTATATATAGATAGATATTACTGGCTTGTTGAACATAAGTAGCAAGCATTCTGCTAGAAATATGTTTCATCCCACTTCTGAAATAGGTCAGGTTATGATGGTATTGATCCAAGAACCCTAAAATATTTGATTAATGAAAAGAAACGACGTGCATAATGTCACTGGAAACACCTCTCTGTATAAAGACTTTTTTCAGAGAGGTAGTTTTGAGTAAGAGAGTAAGGAAAGAGGATTTGACTGCAGCCTTATTGAGACATATTCTGATTATTTCATCCTGCCTGAAAAAGTAGCCTGAAAATCTCAACTAGTCCAAAAGACAATGGCTACATATCTGATTGGAATTGTGTCAGTGCTGTTTCCAGGCCCCATTTAAATACCTGGACTTAACCTTTAAAGCAGCGGTTCTCAATCTATGGGTCGCGACCCCATTTGGGGTCGATCGACCATTTCACGGGGGTCGCCAAGCAAGGTTGTCCGCCATTTTTTTTCCCCTTTTCCAGCGAGTGCCTTACCTCCCTTGAGCTGGGCCAGCTGGTGGTCGGCCTGCTCCGTCTCTGCCGCTTGCCAGCTACGCCTCGGCCGGCGCAGGGGGCGGAACAACGCATGCGCGGTGCTCCCGGGCAGGGAAAGTCCTCGACTTACGACCGCTTGGGTAGTCCTCGACTTACGACCAGTTTAGTCCTCGACTTACGACTGGTTTAGTCCTTGACTTATGACCGGTTTAGTCCTCGACTTACGATCGGTTGGGGATTGCGTCATTAAAAAGGTTGAGAACCACTACTTTAAAGCCTGAAATGGACCATTATATCTACCTGGCTCATCATTTTATGCCCCTGCATCTCTGAAAAGAGATGGAATCACATGCTAGTATGTTTTTCTCTGAGAATTTGACTAGAAAATATGCTGCTGACCTTTTCAACATCAAATAAAGTTTATTTTAATTTTCCTAGGGATTTTAAAAGTTTAACCTTGCCTCCCCCCCCCCCACTTAACCCAGTCATTGTGCCGATATTGTTAATAGCAGCACAGCAAGAACAATTTTAACTATATTAAAAGCAACGGAAGTGTGGGGAGGGCTTAAAACATTAACTTCAACAATCCTGTGTCCAGGTACATCATATTCATTTTAATCCATTAAACAACTATTTGGGATTCAAAAGATGGCTTTCAGTAATTCCCACTTTCAAAGGGTCCTCAGAATGCAGGAAGGAGCACCCAAATAGGGGAGAGTCAATGTGGACTTGAGAAGAGCTCTAAAGAGTTGTCATGCCCGATCTACTACCTAACGTGGCCCTGGCCTTGCCATAAAAAATTGCTTTAGGGAAAACATTTAAAAAAGTTGCTAAGTGCAGAAAAGCAGAATTTCCTGATATCATCTAAAAGCAATCTGAAACCATCCTTCCTGAAGGACCTCTAAGCACCTTTCAGAGGAATTGAGAATGGGATGAAGATGGTCAATTTTGGGAGTGATGGCCCTGGGATGTGGAAAGTTGTATTAAGGCAAATGGCAATGCCAGTTCCAGACAAAAAGAAATACAGTTAGAGTTACCTCTAGTTTTTTCTCACAACCTTCAGCCCTTTTCCTCATTGCCTCTCCATTATTAATACATTTAAACATTTCAGGATAAAAAGCATCAGTTCAGACTATTTGG